TCTGGGCGTGTTCTGTCATCATGTTCTGGGCGTGTTCTGTCATCATGTTCTGGGCGTGTTCTCTCATCATGTTCTGGGCGTGTTCTCTCATCATGTTCTGGGCGTGTTCTCTCATCATGTTCTGGGCGTGTTCTGTCATCATGTGCTGGGCGTGTTCGTCCTCTCTCATCATGTTCTGGGCGTGTTCGTCCTTTATGTCATCATGTTCTGGGCGTGTTCGTCCTTCATGATGTTTTGGGCGTGTTCGTATTTCATGATGTTCTAGGCGTGTTCGTCCTTCATGATGTTCTGGGCGTGTTCGTCCTTCATGATGTTCTGGGCGTGTTCGTCCTTCATGATGTTCTGGGCGTGTTCGTCCTTCATGATGTTCTGGGCGTGTTCGTCCTCTCTCATCATGTTCTGGGCGTGTTCGTCCTTCATGATGTTCTGGGCGTGTTCGTCCTTCATGATGTTCTGGGCGTGTTCGTCCTTCATGATGTTCTGGGCGTGTTCGTCCTTCATGATGTTCTGGGCGTGTTCGTCCTTCATGATGTTCTGGGCGTGTTCGTCCTTCATGATGTTCTAGAGGTTTGAGGTTAACATCTATCTGTGTTACAACATACAGCCACCCCTTCCCCCTCCACGACAGAATGACAATGTCAGGCTATTCACGCTCTGTTAAGCCCTCCCTGTTCCGTCTTGTCTAGTTTAGTCAGCAGTGAATGCCTTATGTCCGCCAGACTAGATCTTTTATTCCTTGTGTACTCTACAGCTTTAACTCCTTTACTCTCACCCTCCGGCTTATTTAGTGTCTAGGCTTTTTTTTTCTTTACTAAACGCAGACACTTACAGACGAGGTTTTTAGATTTTTTTTGTGGTTGTATTTTTTATGGGTTGTCTGATTGCTAGTCTTGTGGGTGTGTTAGTCTGATTCTTTTATTCTGGTGGGTGTGTCTTGATTATATTCTTGTGTGTGTGCTTGTCGTATTATTGTGGCATGTCTGGTAAATAATACGCTACACATCTGCTGCATGAGTCTACAGCATAGACGACAACACGAGCAGTCAACAATAAATGGATCAACTTTTTAAAACATAGACACTACATTTTGCGACTTTTCCTTTGCTCGTGTTAAAACATAGACATGACTTTTTTTTTCCTTTGCTCGCATCTGTAATTATATAGCTGTATCCCACAATATCTGCCTGACCGTATCCCGACACATAGGCCTGATACTAATACTGATCCTATCCCTTATAGGGTCAGTATCCTATTCCCGACACTTACTTTCATTTCTACACCGACAGAAAAAGTCTAGATACTGTATCATCATCCCAGCGTTTTTCTAAGAACCGAAGAGGGATATGGTCGGTTGACTTAAATCTGTTATTTCATCGGCTAGGTTGTTCCTGCTTGTGGTACGGAATACTGTACACTGCCTAGATCTATTAGCTATGTCCGAATAGTGTACAGTGCCTAGCATTTAAGCCCCGCCCCCTTGCACGGCTGGAATCTGACATAATGTAGAGGGGTGGGGGGTCTGTGTTGACTGTAGACCTGGCATAGAAAAGACATTCACTTCCTGATTACAGTGGTAGAACGCCGGAGACGCTGTGATCTTTCTTTAGTGGCTGTACGGCGCTACCGTCTTTAGATCTACGTACTGTACATTTATAACTTGGCCAGTCAAATTACGTGCTGAAGATTTATAACTTAGCTAGATTTTGTATTTGGCACATAAGGTTTGATTTGAAAGCAAATGATAAGTGAGTGTTCAATTAGAACGGACACAGACAGTTTGTTATTCTGTCTGTTATTAAATGTGATTAATACCACAAATAGGCCCTACATTTGTGTGTATGTAGGGGAGTAGTGGAGCTTACACAGTAACTTAACCTAAACTTTCTAATTGTCTCATAAACTAGTCACATGTTACCTGCCTGGTATGTTTGTGGTCAGTCTACTAGTGTAAGATATTGGCGTGGGTCATGTATTTGATGTATTTAACCAATCTACCAGTGTAAGATATTGGCCTGGGTCTGACCTGGGTTTAATGAAAGCTGGCATACGTAGCCACGTAGCGAGTACGTGTAGATGTATAAACAGGCGTCATGCAATGTCACATACAGGTAATTAGACTGGGCTTACCAGAGACGTTGGTCATGTGACACAATCACCTGGTTCCAGCTTGCTAGACTACATGAAATGTGATAACAGCCTGGCGAGGTGGTGGGGCGGAGGTTGGCAGATGGTTGGATGATGGGTTGTTATGAAAACTGACCCACCTACAAAGGCGATTTGTCAGGTCAGCTTCATGCCTATTTTTTCTTTGGACAATTTGTACAGGGGAAGAAATATAGCCAGTGGTGCATTCAATTGTGTAATAGATGTCTGCACACCTAGAGTTTATGGGACTGGTTTAAAGTAAACTTTGGATCAAACATATGCAGTGGGACAAGCTAGAATTTATGGGACTGGTCTTATCTATAGAGGAACAAGTTAGCTGTGATATCAACCAATGCATTAGGTGATATGACACTTCCTTGTTTGCTGGGGTCTCTGTGACACGGTGTAAGGGAATCACACAGTTCTAAACAGGCTGGTAACAATTAGTTATAGATTAGAGAGATATGGAGCGTGCTTGGAATACTGGAGTTAGTGGCCCACTTAATGGAGCGTGCTTGGAATACTGGAGTTAGTGGCCCACTCAATGGAGCGTGCTTGGAATACTTAGTGGCCCACTCAGTGGAGCGTGCTTGGAATACTGGAGTTAGTGGCCCACTCAGTGGAGCGTGCTTGGAATACTGGAGTTAGTGGCCCACTCAATGGAGCGTGCTTGGAATACTGGAGTTAGTGGCCCACTCAATGGAGCGTGCTTGGAATACTTAGTGGCCCACTCAGTGGAGCGTGCTTGGAATACTGGAGTTAGTGGCCCACTCAGTGGAGCGTGCTTGGAATACTGGAGTTAGTGGCCCACTCAATGGAGCGTGCTTGGAATACTGGAGTTAGTGGCCCACTCAGTGGAGCATGCTTGGAATACTGGAGTTAGTGGCCCACTCAGTGGAGCGTGCTTGGAATACTGGAGTTAGTGGCCCACTCAGTGGAGCGTGCTTGGAATACTGGAGTTAGTGGCCCACTCAATGGAGCGTGCTTGGAATACTGGAGTTAGTGGCCCACTCAGTGGAGCATGCTTGGAATACTTAGTGGCCCACTCAGTGGAGCGTGCTTGGAATACTGGAGTTAGTGGCCCACTCAGTGGAGCATGCTTGGAATACTGGAGTTAGTGGCCCACTCAGGCCAGCAGAAAGTACACCACTCTCTGACAAAGTGATCAGCCAAGCATGTGACCCCCCCCCCCTCCCCCACCACCACCACCACCACCACAGCCTAAAGAAATCAACAAGTACAGAAGTAACTTAGGTATTTAGCACATTCTTGAATTTGTTGTTCTTGTCAAGTTGTAGGTCAAACAGTTTCCAGTTCTAGAAATATTTCTCTATGTTGACTACAAGCATGGCTGTATTACACAGAGGCTTGTCACAACAAATTGTGTCCAACGTCAGCAAATCTGTGGTCAAACAATGGTCAGTTATTGACTCATTTCTGACCAGACTAGTGACCTGTGTAACATGTAATACCTTCACGACCTTACCATAATCTGATCTCTGGGTGTAGTGCTAGCGCTTGGTTAGGTCAAGTAGATCAAGCTGGTTCTTGTCATTCTTCTTACATGCAAGTATCTAACAGATGAATTGGTGTAGCAGGGAGAGATACAGAACTAGTGTTTTATTTAGTCAGCACATAACACCTGAATCTACAAATACCATTTTGTCCACTGGCCAAGTTCCAATAGGGCCCACAAGATCTAGTTCTACAGGTTTACTGTACCATTAGGGAGTAGCTGAAACTGGCTTGACAACACTTTGTTAGAAGATGTACACACTCAGATCCTATTAGCTGTTTTATCTTAGACCTCACAAAAGTCGTTTGGGTTGGTGTTGTTTTTAGATTTAAATAAAGTGGATCTATACAAAGTAATATTTGTATTCCGATAGATTTCTTTGTTTTTTCTTTAGCTGTTGTAGAAGTTTCTAGAGATCTTGTTGTAGAAGTTTCTAGAGATCTTGGTGTGTCTTGTCTCTATGGCTGTTGTTCAACAAAGACCTATGACATACCTGCACTAACACCTGTACAGTAATCATTAGCTGTCATTAACATGAGCTCAGAGGTGTAGCGACCCCTCCCGGCGCCAGTGGACAAACTTTCAATTTGCCCCCCCCCCCCCATATATTTTTTATGTTTATAATTTAAAACTGCAGCTAAAATGAGCTTTTAATTTTTTTTCCCAACCCATTTTGGCACCCCTAGAGTTGGCGCCCTGGGACATATGTACCCACACCCCCCCCTTTGCCACACCTCTGCATGAGCTATCTCTAACACATTAAACATTTTTTTTTACTTCAACGGTTGACTTTTACATTTCAGACCAAAACAGCCTGTCTGATTTCCGCAGCAATGAGCCCAAATTCAATGGTTGACTTGTACATTTCAGACCAAAACAGCCTGTCTGATTTCCGCAGTAATGAGCCCAAATTCAATGGTTGACTTGTACATTTCAGACCAAAACAGCCTGTCTGATTTCCGCAGCAATGAGCCCAAATTCAATGGTTGACTTGTACATTTCAGACCAAAACAGCCTGTCTGATTTCCGCAGCAATGAGCCCAAATTCAATGGTTGACTTGTACATTTCAGACCAAAACAGCCTGTCTGATTTCCGCAGCAATGAGCCCAAATTCAATGGTTGACTTTTACATTTCAGACCAAAACAGCCTGTCTGATTTCCGCAGCAATGAGCCCAAATTCAATGGTTGACTTTTACATTTCAGACCAAAACAGCCTGTCTGATTTCCGCAGCAATGAGCCCAAATTCAATGGTTGACTTTTACATTTCAGACCAAAACAGCCTGTCTGATTTCCGCAGCAATGAGCCCAAATTCAATGGTTGACTTTTACATTTCAGACCAAAACAGCCTGTCTGATTTCCGCAGTAATGAGCCCAAGTTTGAGCTGGACCATCTGGCCACATTTGCTGCAGGTACCAGAAATGGAGTTCTACACGCGGAGGACGGGCTACGCAAGCTGCGACAGATGGAGAACACCACTGGCATATGGACCATGAGATGTATTCTCATTGTAGAGAGGGGATGTCTAGTCATATTAGATAACAGCTCAGGGGTGAGTTAGGTTTTTACATTTCATTGGCTAGCTGGAAACTTGTCTTATGGTAGAATAATATTCTGTGTGTATGTTCAGTCTTACACAAGGGTGTCTCAGCCATACAAGAGATGTTGGTATAACACATGAGAACTTAAGCACTGCAAAAACATATTTTTACATTTCAACTTATGAATTTTACCCATTAAATGATTTGAAATCCCCTAAATGGCTTGATGTCAAGTTTCAATGTTGTAGGGGGGGGAGCTAAATTTACCAACATTGGTAAAAGTATCTTGACTTGACTTGACTTAGTCCACTTTGCTGCTTGTGGAGCATATGGCTCTCACCATATTCTTGATAATAAATTCTATTTCCTACTGGGAGATGGGAAACGTATTTGGGTGGAGTTTGAATATAATGCTGACAGTGACTGGTTTACTGTAAAACTGCTCAATGTGTTCTTGTCTTGACAGTGACAGGTTTACTGTAAAACTGCTAAATGTTTTCTTGTCTTGATAGTGACAGGGTTTACTGTAAAACTGCTCAATGTGTTCTTGTCTTGACAATGACAGGTTTACTGTAAAACTGATCAATGTTTTCTTGTCTTGACAGTGACTGGTTTACTGTAAAACTGCTCAATGTGTTCTTTTATTACCTGCTTACAGGAAGAGCTAGAAAGGTTCCCCATACAACTGGTCCAAGACCCCACAGCAATGTATTGTCTTGACTGTGACTGGTTTACTGTAAAACTGCTCAATGTGTTCTTTTATTACCTGCTTACAGGAAGAGCTAGAAAGGTTCCCCATACAACTGGTCCAAGACCCCACAGCAATTTTCAAAAATGACCGCAGAGAAATCTACAACAACCTGATCTTGTTTACCATTGTGGATGACCCAAAGAAGAGGTCATCACAGGCTGACATGCACATCTTCCAGAGCTGTAAGGCACCGGTCAGTTCAGGTTTTTATTTGATTAGCTGTAAGGCACTGGTCAGTTTAAGATTTATTTGATTAGCTGTAAGGTGCTGGTCAGTTTAAGATTTATTTGATCAGCTGTAAGGCTCTTGTCAGTTTGCCTGTAGTTAACAGCTGTTGATGTTCCAGGCCCAGGAAATAGTGGATGAAATTCTGGCAGCCAAGAATGGACAACAGAAACTTTATCCACCTGGAGGGTAGGTGTCTCTTGTTACAGTCTCTCTAGCAGCAGCTCTAATTAGGCTAATTAATTAACCTGGAGGCCAGAAGTTTAATTATGGTGTTTCTCACATGACAGGGCAGTTGTAGTAGAGTAAACCTGGTACAACATTTAATCAGGTCATACGAGTGATTTGTCTGTCTTACTTTCTGTGCAATTGTTGGGTTCTGTGTTACTAACTTTGTTAGCATGTGCCAAGTTCAACATTCACAGACGACTACATGAGGGCTTGCTTGTAAATGTTGTAAAGAATTGTGGGATTTACCTGTCCATCTACCTGTCTATTTCATACTTTGTTTGGATTGGTTCATGGAATATTTCATTTCTAACTTATTGTGTAGATTACCTCCCCTAGTTCCTTATGATCTCAAGTGTTGAGCCCCCATGATGTGTTTTGGCTGTCACTTTGTCAATTATTAATTTTAAAACTCCAATTTTCAGATCATCTCTGGTGATATATCAGCAAAATACTAATAATTATAGGAATTATAGGTATGGCAAGGATACAGAAACGTTCAACTTTTTTTTATTGTATATAGTCACAATAATAGCTAATGCTATTATAAGTATAATTATTTATTTTTTGTAATTATATAATAGCAGTAATAGCTAATGCTATTATTATTTTTTATAAATACAATAGCTAATGCAATTATAATTATTTTCTGTAATTACATAGTAGCAGTAATATTTAATGCTATAAAGAATTTTTTATTAATACAATAGATCATGCTATTTTACAATTGTTTTTTTTTTTGTTAATGATGATAGATCGTGCAATTTTAATTTTTTAAATTACCTTGTCAAAATAGTAGCAGATGCTATTATATTATTTCTTTTAAAATACTTCATTACAGTTATAGCTGTTTTACTATTTTTAAGTGTTTTGCCATAGTAATGGCCAAAGCTATTTTGCATTTGTATTCAACTACTAAATTTGTTTTGCGTTCTTTAATTCTGTTGAAGAAATTACTTTAAGATAGAATTTGTGTGACATTGTTGTTAGTCTTCGAGCGGACACAATTAATGTGTCATTGGTTAATGGACACAATGTGACATTTGTTAAAGCCTTATGGATATGTTGTGGTTTTAACTGCATCTGAAACTTTTTTTTTGTAAAATGCACAATCTAAAGGCTGACAACAATTTCACACATTTCGCTGTTTTTAATCACTTTTTCTTTGATGCCAGCATGAATATTTTTTAATTATTTTTTTTACTTTGAATATCTGATCAGCTGTTAGCTCCTAGCCTACAGCTGTTAGCCTACAGCTGCTAGCCTACAGCTGTTAGCCTACAGCTGTTAGCCTACAGCTGTTAGCCTACAGCTGTTAGCCTACAGCTGCTAGTCTACAGCTGCTAGCCTACAGCTGCTAGTCTACAGCTGTTAGCCTACAGCTGTTAGCTCCTAGCCTACAGCTGCTAGCCTACAGCTGTTAGCCTACAGCTCCTAGCCTACAGCTGCTAGCCTACAGCTGTTAGCCTACAGCTGCTAGCCTACAGCTGCTAGCCTACAGCTGTTAGCCTACAGCTGCTAGCCTACAGCTGCTAGCCTACAGCTGTTAGCCTACAGCTGTTAGCTCCTAGCCTACAGCTGCTAGTCTACAGCTGTTAGCCTACAGCTGTTAGCTCCCAGCCTACAGCTGCTAGCCTACAGCTGCTAGCCTACAGCTGCTAGCCTACAGCTGTTAGCCTACAGCTGTTAGCCCCTAGCCTACAGCTGCTAGCCTACAGCTGTTAGCCTACAGCTGCTAGCCTACAGCTGTTAGCCTACAGTTGGTCAGTAGACTTTCCAATTTTTGTTGTTTATCCAGATTATTTTAATTTTTTTAAAAATCCACCACTTTTAGTTTGTTACCAAGCAATTTCTAAGGTCCCTGCAACAATTGTTGGCGTCATTGAATGACTGTATGTGAAGTTAACCCCAGTAGTTAAGCTGTATGTTGCATGAGGTGGAGGGCCTAATGTCACCCCTGATGATAGCTGGTCTCTATCTGATAACAACTTGATGTAACCATGACGTAGCCTGCTGATGTAGAAATATCATTTCTCATATAAGATACATCCTTTATCTTTTTAGGAAATGTACTCTCTACATTAACAAATAACACAGTTTAGTTGGCAATAGCTGCATCAACCGTATGTAAACATTGGTTGAAGTCTATTTGAATCTACAAGCTTTAGTTTCACTTCTAGTCTAGTCTACATTTTATAATCAGATGCCTAAAAACTAGCTAGGGAACATTTCTCTACACCTGTCTCAGATCTCAGGTTATTTAAAACTGTCACACATTCCCCCCCCCCCCCCCCACCATGTTGTGCACCTTTACACTCAGGAGCTTCAAGTTCTCCTATTGTGGTGGTCTCTATACTAAACAAGAGGCCCAGATAGGGCAGTGTGTTCCAACTTGGGTCAATAGATTGTTCCAACTTGGGTCAATAGATTGTTCCAATTTGGGTTAATTTGTCAAGGTCCTGTGTCAAGAGGACAACTAGTTATTTCTGTCCTTGAATACCTTGTGTTGGCCCAAGCAATTAAGTTTACATAGAAAATACAATAAATGGATGCAGTTATAGAAAGTTGTAGAACCTCACAAACATGCGCAGGTGACAAAGATCACAATACACTGTCAAGTCAGTTTCACACCATTTCATTCCCCCTAACAGGTTAATTAATTAATTAATTTCAAGCAAGCCATCTAGAAGTAGAAGACTTGACCTTCAGACAACAGTAGCTTTGTTAAATTATAATTGGGTGTGGCCCAAGGATGAAATTAACAACCTCCCTACCTGCATAATTATGGCCAGATTCTATGTCGTACATGTCTCCACTAGTCTCCTTACAAACAATACGTCACATCTCAGACCTAGAGCTGCTCAAGGATTTCATCACTTCTCTGTTTCACTGTGTACATTGTAGTATCTTAGTGTGTACATCTAGTGTGTACATCTAGCCTGTACATCTAGCATGTACATCTAATGTGTATAACTAGTGTGTACATCTAGTGTGACTTGCATGGACTACTAAAGTATCTCCTGTGTGTAATAATTGCTACTTATGATTTCAGCTGGATTTAACTCTTGGTATGGGAACTCTTAACCAACACATCTTTACTGCTTTACTTTATTTATCTTTATTATTTGTTTCAGTTGATGTTAATTTAATCATTTGCTTTTTTTTTTTATAAATATTCACTACCCAGAAGATTATATTTATTTTAGACTTTTGGTTGTAATTAAGCTAATTGAGTGAATAGTAAAACTTTTCTTGATAAAAGGGTGGTGCATTTGTCTAGTTGTGGCTTAGAGATTTATGTCCACAAAAGTAAATTGTTACTTCTGAATCAATTACTATACAGTTTTAATATGTTAGATGCCTATACTGACTCTCCCACTGACTCCCACACTGACTCTCACATAATGTCTTCAGATCTAGGCTGCCTGTCGTCCCCCCACCCACTGACTCCCACACTGACTCTCACAAAATGTCTTCAGATCTAGGTTGCCTGTCCCCCCCCACTGACTCCCCCAATGACTCCCACACTGACTCCCACACTGACTCTCACATAATGTCTTCAGATCTAGGTTGCCTGTCCCCCCACTGACTCCCACACTGACTCCCACACTGACTCCCACACTGACTCTCACATAATGTCTTCAGATCTAGGTTGCCTGTCCCCCCCACTGACTCCCACACTGACTCTCACATAATGTCTTCAGATCTAGACTGCCTGTCCCCCCCCCCAACTGACTCCCCCACTGACTCTCACACTGACTCTCACATAATGTCTTCAGATCTAGGTTGCCTGTCCCCCCACTGACTCCCCCACTGACTCCCCCACTGACTCTCACATAATGTCTTCAGATCTAGGCTGCCTGTCCCCCCCAATGACTCCCACACTGAGTCTCACATAATGTCTTCAGATCTAGACTGCCTGTCCCCCCACTGACTCCCACACTGACTCCCACACTGACTCTCACATAATGTCTTCAGATCTAGGTTGCCTGTCCCCCCACTGACTCCCACACTGACTCCCCCACTGACTCTCACATAATGTCTTCAGATCTAGGCTGCCTGTCCCCCCCAATGACTCCCACATAGACTCCCCCACTGACTCCCACACTGACTCCCCCACTGAGTCTCACATAATGTCTTCAGATCTAGGCTGCCTGTCCCCCCCCCACTCTCCCCCACTGACTCCCCCACTGACTCTCACATAATGTCTTCAGATCTAGGCTGCCTGTCCCCCCACTGACTCCCCCACTGACTCTCACATAATGTCTTCAGATCTAGGCTGCCTGTCCCCCCACTGACTCCCACACTGACTCTTACATAATGTCTTCAGATCTAGGTTGCCTGTCCCCCCACTGACTCCCCCACTGACTCCCCCACTGACTCTCACATAATGTCTTCAGATCTAGGCTGCCTGTCCCCCCCCACTCTCCCCCACTGACTCCCACACTGACTCTCACATAATGTCTTCAGATCTAGGCTGCCTGTCCCCCCACTGACTCCCCCACTGACTCTCACATAATGTCTTCAGATCTAGGCTGCCTGTCCCCCACTGACTCCCACACTGACTCTCACATTATGTCTTCAGATCTAGGCTGCCTGGCCCCCCCCCCACTCTCCCCCATTGACTCCCACACTGACTCTCACATAATGTCTTCAGATCTAGGCTGCCTGTCTCCCCACTGACTCCCCCACTGACTCCCCCACTAACTCTCACATAATGTCTTCAGATCTAGGCTGCCTGTCCCCCCAAATGACTCCCACACTGACTCTCACATAATGTCTTCAGATCTAGGTTGCCTGTCCCCCCACTGACTCCCCCACTGACTCTCACATAATGTCTACAGATCTAGGCTGCCTGTCCCCCACTGACTCCCCCACTGACTCTCACATATGTCTTCAGATCTAGGCTGCCTGTCCCCCCCCCCCACTGACTCCCACACTGACTCTCACACTGACTCTCACATAATGTCTTCAGATCTAGGCTGCCTGTCCCCCCAAATGACTCCCACACTGACTCTCACATAATGTCTTCAGATCTAGGCTGCCTGTCCCCCCCACTGACTCCCCCACTGACTCTCACACTGACTCTCACATAATGTCTTCAGATCTAGACTTCCTGTCCCCCCCCCCCACTGACTCCCCCACTGACTCTCACAAAATGTCTTCAGATCTAGGCTGCCTGTCCCCCCACTGACTCCCACACTGACTCTCACATAATGTCTTCAGATCTAGGCTGCCTGTCCCCCCCCCCACTGACTCCCCCACTGACTCTCACACTGACTCTCACATAATGTCTTCAGATCTAGACTTCCTGTCCCCCCCCCCACTGACTCCCCCACTGACTCTCACAAAATGTCTTCAGATCTAGGCTGCCTGTCCCCCCACTGACTCCCACACTGACTCTCACAAAATGTCTTCAGATCTAGGCTGCCTGTCCCCCCACTGACTCCCACACTAACTCCCACACTGACTCTCACATAATATCTTCAGATCTAGACTGCCTGTCCCCCCCCCCCCACTGACTCCCACACTGACTCTCACACTGACTCTCACATAATGTCTTCAGATCTAGACTTCCTGTCCCCCCCCCCCACTGACTCCCCCACTGACTCTCACATAATGTCTTCAGATCTAGGCTGCCTGTCCCCCCACTGACTCCCACACTGACTCTCACATAATGTCTTCAGATCTAGGCTGCCTGTCCCCCCACCAGAGCCACCAGGAACTGCCTATGACTTTCAGAAAATGAGAAATTACCTGGGTAAGTCAAGGTCAGAAAATGAGAAATTACCTGGGTAAGTCAAGGTCAGAAAATGAGAAATTACCTGGGTAAGTCAAGGTGGTGTTTTCATTACAGTTTAACTTTCTGATTCATAGCTGCTAAAGAAATAATTGGTTGTTTTGTTGGATTCTATTCTGTTTTTTGTTGGCTGGAACACAGGTTGACACTGAGAAAACTTTTTTAGTCCATTTTGTTCTCTGAGTTGGCTCTCACTATTTAAGTCAAGCTTACACAGTAAAATTTTAGAAAAATATTGATCAACATTTGCTTTTGCAGAGAATTTGAAAACAGTTATTTACATTTTAGTTTACATTTTAAAAACACCTTGTTTTGATTGGCTATTGAATAAGGAATACGAGTATTTTGTGCAATATTTTGATCCACGAGGTTAGACACAATCTATAGTTGAGTGTTTAATTACTGATTGAAATGCAAACATTTCAGACACAACAGAGATGCGACAGTTTAACCAGACCAGCTACAGCCAGGGGGGTCAGTTTGGTGGACCCATCAGCCACCAGCGCTCCTTCATCACCCGCGTCAACACCCTCAGGGAGAAGGAAGATCTGGGCGGGGGCAGCACAGAGATTTTAGAGAGGGATGTGGTAGGTCTTAGAGTAAATCTTTTAGAGATAGAGATTTTGTAGGTCTTACAGTATATCTTTTAGAGAGGGATATGGTAGGTCTTACAGTAAATCTTTTAGAGATGGATGTGGTAGGTGTTACAGTATATCTTTTAGAGAGGGATGTGGTAGGTCTTACAGTAAATCTTTTAGAGATAGAGATTTTGTAGGTCTTACAGTATATCTTTTAGAGAGGGATGTGGTAGGTCTTACAGTAAATCTTTTAGAGATGGATGTGGTAGGTCTTACAGTAAATTTTTTTAGAGAGGGATGTGGTAGGTCTTACAGTATATCACTATAACATATTTTAGAGAGAGATTTGGAAGATCTTACAGTATATCTTTTAGAGAGAGATTTGGTAGGTCTTACAGTATATCACCATAACGAATTTTAGAGAGAGATTTGGAAGGTCTTACAGTATATCACCTAACAAATTTTAGAGAGAGATTTGGTAGGTCTTACAGTATATCACCTTAACAAATTTTAGAGAGAGATTTGGTAGTTCTTACAGTATATCTTTTAGAGAGGGATGTGGTAGGTCTTACAGTAAATCTTTTAGAGAGGGATATGGTAGGTCTTACAGTAAATTTTGTTAGAGAGGGATGTGGTAGGTCTTACAGTATATCACTATAACATATTTTAGAGAGAGATTTGCAAGGTCTTACAGTATATCTTTTAGAGAGAGATTTGGTAGGTCTTACAGTATATCACCATAACAAATTTTAGAGAGAGATTTGGAAGGTCTTACAGTATATCACCTAACAAATTTTAGAGAGAGATTTGGTAGGTCTTACAGTATATCACCATAACAAAATTATAGAGAGAGATTTGGTAGGTCTTACAGTACATCACAAAAATAACCATTCGTGCTCCAGTCTCCATCTAAATCTGTATAAGAAAAATAGGATTGAAACTTTTAACAGACCTAAGTTTAAATTTATTAGTACAAAGCATCATTTTCTTGGCTGTGTAATACACAATCTTAGCGCATGTAATACGCAATGTTAACACCAGCACTGTATATCAGAAACATTGGGTGATTACAATCTGTCATTGAAGACCTTCCTTATAAGACATTCAATAAGTAACAAAACCTTCAACACCCCAGAGGGGATGATGTTACAATGTTTATGTGACTCACATCTAAGTTAGTGTTGTGTACTCCATGTGTTGTGTACTCCATGTGATGTGTACTCCATGTGTTGTGTACTCCATGTGTTGTGTACTCCATGTGTTGTGTACTCCATGTGTTGTGTACCCCATGTGTTCCTACCTGTGACCTTTAACCTCCCCAGCAACTACTGAACCACTGTTTTGACGACATTGAGAAGTTTGTGGCCAGGCTACAGCAGGCAGCTGAGTCCTACAAGGAGCTGGAGAAGAGGAAGAGAGACAGGGGGGCCAAGAACAAGAAGAAACAATCTGGAGGTAAACTAACTGGTTGGGGAGGTTGTGGTTTTACATGGCTTGACCTGGGGCAGTCATGGTTTTACATGGCTTGACCTGGGGCAGTCATGGTTTTACATGGCTTGACCTGGGGAGGTCATGGTTTTACATGGCTTGACCTGGGGCAGTCATGGTTTTACATGGCTTGACCTGGGGCAGTCATGGTTTTACATGGCTTGACCTGGGGAGGTCATGGTTTTACATGGCTTGACCTGGGGCAGTCATGGTTTTACATGGCTTGACCTGGGGCAGTCATGGTTTTATATGGTTTGACCTGGGGCAGTCATGGTTTTACATGGCTTGACCTGGGGCAGTCATGGTTTTACATGGCTTGACCTGGGGAGGTCATGGTTTTACATGGCTTGACCTGGGGCAGTCATGGTTTTACATGGCTTGACCTGGGGCAGTCATGGTTTTACATGGCTTGACCTGGGGTGGTCATGGTTTTATATGGCTTGACCTGGGGTGGTCATGGTTTTACATGGCTTGACCTGGGGCGGTCATGGTTTTATATGGCTTGACCTGGGGCGGTCATGGTTTTACATGGCTTGACCTGGGGCGGTCATGGTTTTACATGGCTTGACCTGGGGAGGTCATGGTTTTACATGGCTTGACCTGGGGCAGTCATGGTTTTACATGGCTTGACCTGGGGCAGTCATGGTTTTACATGGCTTGACCTGGGGCAGTCATGGTTTTACATGGCTTGACCTGGGGCAGTCATGGTTTTACATGGCTTGACCTGTGGCAGTTATTGTTTTACATGGCTTGACCTGGGGCAGTTATTGTTTTACAAGGCTTGGCCCGCATGTGTTGAATGGGGCATTCATGTTTTTAAAAAGGCTTGACCCTTCTTAAATGTATGCAAACATTGACCATTCAATCATTTAAAAAAACAATTCGGTTTACTAACATAAAATCTACAGGAAACTGAATGTTATCACAAGTCCTTGTGTGTTGCCTCACATAATTCACCCCAGCCACTGCTAGTGAACAATAATATTTGAATTTTTTAATGATTAATATTGTCATGCAAACATTTTTATATGAACATAACCTTTTATATATTAAAAATATTTAATCCAATGCTTATAACTCTAGTAGACCTTTATTTACATTTTTACATGAACCTAACTTGTTATAAATATAAAAAGTATTTGATCCAATGCTTATAGGTCTAGTTGACCTTTATTAACAAAAATATTTTTTAAATTCTTTACATGCTGCTTTATAGGAGGTAATAAAATATTTTTGTCATTTCATTGTTTGTGCTAATTTCTATGTGGTCATCTCATTGTTTGTGCTAATTTCTATGTGATCATTTCATTTTTTGTGCTAATTTCTGTCTAGTCATTTCATTGTTTGTGCTAATTTCTGTCTAGTCATTTCATTGTTTGTGCTAATTTCTGTCTAGTCATTTCATTGTTTGTGCTAATTTCTGTCTAGTCATTTCATTGTTTGTGCTAATTTCTGTCTAGTCATTTCATTGTTTGTGCTAATTTCTGTCTAGTCATTTCATTGTTTGTGCTAATTTCTGTCTAGTCATTTCATTGTTTGTACAAACCTCTATGTGGTCATTTCATTGTTTGTGCTAACTTCTATCAAGTGTTTTAATTTCATAGCTTGTCACTTTTTTATATTTTGCTGTAGCTAAAACACTAATCTTTTACTGCTTTGTTTGTCAACATAAATGTGTCGGAAATTTTTTATTTTTCCATTTGTGCACATTGTCAACTTGTAAATTATTTTTTCTGCAATAAACATTTTTTTTGTAGTAACTTTATTCAATAATGTTACTTACTGAGCATATGTAAAAAGATATCAAATGTGTATAGTGTCTGGTTTGAAGTGTAGTAAAATGTACAAATGGTTGTAGCTCTAAAGTTTCTATTGACAGATGGGATGCTGAATGCCAGGGCTAGACCTCCACCTGACCAGGACTTTGTGGACATTTTCCAGAAGTTTAAACTTTCCTTTAATTTATTGGTAAGTGGTTAAGTTTCCTTTAATTTATTGGTAAGTCGTTAAGTTTATCTCAACTCTTGTCTAGAAGTTTTAATAAGTGAACACAATCGATTCATTAACAAAAGCACTTTTCCTCCCCAGGCCAAGCTGAAAGCTCACATTCATGACCCTAACGCACCAGAGCTGGTCCACTTCCTGTTCACACCTCTGTCTCTGATCTACGAGGCCAGCCGTGACCCGTACCATGGCAACCAGAACCTGGGGGACCAGGCCGTGGCGCCTGTCCTGACTGGAGACGCCAAGCAGCTGCTGCTCAACTGTCTGACCTCCAAGGAGATTGAGCTGTGGCAGGCCCTGGGCAAGCACTGGACCACAAGCAGGGACGAGTGGAACGGCCACATCCCCCCCTACGTCCCAGAGTTCTATGATGGCTGGCAGCCAGCCGCTGGGGTCATTGATGAGCTGACGGCCAGGTCGGCAATCATGGCCCAGCAGCCCATGATTGAACCAATGAGAACGCAACCAGTCATTGAGGAGAGGCCCAGAGCTTATGTAAGTCAAGCACATTTCAAACTTCCAACACCCCTTCATTTATTGTTATTTTTTTAAATAAAATGTTAGTAATATACAAAACTTGAGATTTTGTAAAGTATTTTTCTGATATTGTATGACTTTTTCAAGCTCTCACATTAACAGCCATATGCCAGTCAGTTTTAAAGTTATGCTAGACAAAACACTATAGGATTGTTGCTTTCATCTAAAACCCCCTTATAACCTGTATTTGATGCTACTCCCCTGAACCCTGTACAGAACCCCATGAACTAAATAACTTGTATTTGATGCTACTCCCCAGAACCCTGTACAGCGCCCCATGCACTAAACTTGTATTTGATGCTACTCCCCAGAACCCTGTACAGCGCCCCATGCACTAAACTTGTATTTGATGCTACTCCCCAGAACCCCGTACAGAACCCCATGCACTAAACTTGTATTTAATGCTACTCCCCAGAACCCTGTACAGCGTCCCATGCACTACCCTGATGAGGACAGATTCCATCGCAATGATGACTTTGACAGGTTTGAGTCTGCACCTAGGGGCTATGAATCAAATCAACGTGCTTTTGAGTCTAATCCTCGAGGAGGTTTCGAACCTTTGCCTTCAAGAGGATTTGAACCTCTGACTCGAGGGTATGACCCTAACGCCTCTAGAGTTTTAGAGCCACCCGGCATGAGAGGTTATGAGCCTCAGTCTAGAGAGAGGTCACCATCTCGTTCCGGAATGGGCAGCCCGTACTCGTCTGAGTTTGTAGACCAATACCAAGTAGACAGGTGACAGCATTTACTAAGATGTGTTGGGTTGCCTCTTCATTCTAAGATCATTTCAACAGATGTTTGTTTAGAGAGAAATAGTTACTTGAAAACAATCAAGCATTACATTTTTTAAAGTTAGGAAAGTAATTTTAATGAAATTATTTAATTGTTCCACTTTTTAAAATCAGAAACAAGTTTTTTTTTTTTTGTTAGAAATTGTAATACACGTTTGTTGACTGAAGGCTCAGCTGTTTACAGTATTCTTCCATAGATCTAGCAGGACAATTTTCACTCTCTCTTTCTTTTTCCATCAATCAGCCACATTAAGTGGAAAAGTTTCTGAACTCTCGTCTTGGTCAAGTAAAGCTCCATTTTAATCTAAGCTTCTCATGCAAGTTGTTTTTAGGTTCAAACAAGGGCTAAATGGGAGAGAAATCTGGGTACCAAGAGAGATAACTAGTCTGGTCCAGAAGAGATAGCCAACACAATTTCTAGTATAAAAAGCTGTCACTTTATGTTGGTTACAACAACTTTAAGAATTTAAAAACATTTTTGACAATAAATAAAAAAAAGTATTTTATTAAAAAAAAAAACGGCCTTCTAAAGTTGTTGTACCCCAGCATGATCCTAACACCCACAGCACTTATCTGCCAGTCACAACACTAATCCAGCAACTTGATCATGTGACACTTCACCTTCCTCCACTGGAGTTATGCGCTTGTCATTTGAAAAATAATCAATTTTTAAATATAAAGCACTCAATTTTTTTAAATATAAAACTCAATTTTTTAAATAGAAACCTCAATAGAATTCAACTGGACACCATGTAACACAAAAGAAGACGTTGAATTATTGACTAAAACGTTGAATTATTGACTATCAATTTGAAATGTTGGGTGATAGACCTAGTCTCCTGCATGGATTGTCTCAGAGTATTTTATTGAGGTCTTTAATTAATTGATAAATAAATAAATAAAGGTTTTCATGGCATTACAAGTTGCATTCAAAAGGTGAAGCGTACAATTATTTGTTGCGGTTAGAGGGTGGGCTGAAATTTTGATTTGCTGGAAATGTTTTTGTTCACTCATTTGCAGTTTGCTTTTTAATTACTTCTAATACAGCTTTCGTTATCCTTATAAGTTTTCACTTTTAGACTTAGGTTATAACAGACTTTCTGTATGAATCTAATCTGTATATAATAACAGCTTTTTAAAACTCTAGAAATTTATTTTGTTGAAGTTTTGTTTTTATATAGATATACCTTCTCTATCATAATAGTTTGTTTACTATCAGACAAAAGCTGATATTATTGTCCCCCTTGCTTGACTCTTCCATCTCATGCTACATGTAGTTATGTTGTCAGCACAGTGTAAATCTCATGAGTGAGTTTGGTTGGCCTACACAAACTTGCTCAAGTCATGGCCTACACAAACTTGCTGAAGTCATGACATACACAAACTTGCTCAAGTCATGGCCTACACAAACTTGCTGAAGTCATGACATACACAAACTTGCTCAAGTCATGGCCTACACAAACTTGCTCAAGTCATGGCCTACACAAACTTGCTCAAGTCATGGCCTACACAAACTTGCTCAAGTCATGGCATACACATACCTGCTCAAGTCATATCCTACACAAACTTGCTGAAGTCATGGCATACACAAACTTGCTCAAGTCATGACATACACAAACTTGCTCAAGTCATGGCCTACACAAACTTGCTCAAGTCATGGCATACACATACCTGCTCAAGTCATGGCATACACAAACTTGCTCAAGTCATATCCTACACAAACTTGCTCAAGTCATGGCCTACACAAACTTGCTCAAGTCATGGCATACACATACCTGCTCAAGTCATGACATACACAAACTTGCTCAAGTCATGGCCTACACAAACTTGCTCAAGTCATGGCATACACATACCTGCTCAAGTCATGGCCTACACAAACTTGCTCAAGTCATGGCATACACAAACTTGCTCAAGTCATGGCATACACATACCTGCTCAAGTCATGACATACACAAACTTGCTCAAGTCATGGCATACACAAACTTGCTCAAGTCATGGCATACACATACCTGCTCAAGTCATGACATACACAAACTTGCTCAAGTCATGGCCTACACAAACTTGCTCAAGTCATGGCATACACATACCTGCTCAAGTCATGGCATACACAAACTTGCTCAAGTCATGGCATACACAAACTTGCTCAAGTCATGGCCTACATTCTCTCCCCAACTGAACCTTGCTGCATTGCTACTTCCTAATGAAAATATTTTGTTTGTATATGCTCACAAGTCACCAAGCTTCAGCTGCCATTTTGTCCTTCTAGTCTGTATAACAACCTTGTTGTATGTTTGTCACTCAGTGGAGTAATCTAAAGTTATTTTGATCATTCTCTAGAGAATAGTTTGATTTAAATCTCCTGTCTTTAAAGTCTACCTGTAAAGTTTGTTGAAGCTTTCATGTTATCTGCTAGAGGCTCAAACTTTGACCTAGCCAGAGTTAACTTCTCTTTAGTTCAGATAGTTCATAATGCTTATACACATTTGATAGCTTTTTTTTTTTAAATTTATTTCAATTAATAATATATCCTTTGAAATTTATAACCCTTTTTGTTTTATTAATTTGGCTATTTTAAATAATTTTTTTAAAACTTTTAACCTCATTTTACTTAAAAATGTTTTATTTTTGTTATTTAGAATTAATGTTTCAATAAAGTGCTAATTTTTATGTGTGTACAACCTCATTTCATTTTTATATTCATTTAAATAAACTATGGTTTTAAAGTTAAGTAACACAATCTTTGGTATATATTACTTTAAAATTAAGCTTTAATTTATTTATTTTTATTTTACTTTATTAATACTAATTTTAAGCAGAATAAGTTTTTAAAAAGAAAAATCTATTGTTTAAAGCTGCGACAATGTTTGAATGTGTAAAAACTTTTGACAGAAATGTGAGGCCTGACATTCCTAAAATGGTGGAGAGAGAGCCACACAGGGGACCCATGTCTCGGCAAGATGAAAACGCTGCTTATTATGACGAGCTCCGGCGTAATGGAGACACTCAGTGAGTTGAACTTTGTAACTGTACCAACTGACCAACTGGTAACACTTGGTCAACTGACCAACTGGTTACACTTGGGCAACTGACCAACTGGTAACACTTGGTCAACTGGTAACACTTGGTCAACTGACCAACTGGTAACACTTGGTCAACTGGTAACACTTGGTCAACTGACCAACTGGTAACACTTGGTCAACTGGTAACACTTGGTCAACTGACCAACTGGTAACACTTGGTCAACTGACCAACTGGTAACACTTGGTCAACTGGTAACACTTGGTCAACTGACCAACTGGTAACACTTGGTCAACTGGTAACACTTGGTCAACTGGTAACACTTGGTCAACTGACCAACTGGTAACACTTGGTCAACTGGTAACACTTGGTCAACTGGTAACACTTGGTCAACTGACCAACTGGTAACACTTGGTCAACTGACCAACTGGTAACACTTGGTCAACTGGTAACACTTGGTCAACTGGTAACACTTGGTCAACTGACCAACTGGTAACACTTGGCCCACTGGTAACACTTGGTCAACTCACTATTTAACCTCTCTCCTTTCTTTGACCTAACGATCCTCTAAAGTGTTATCACACTCAGGTTTTTAAAGTATAATTTACTCTTTTATATGTTCCAGTTTTCATCTTTTTTGCCCTTTATAAAATAGAGACAAAAAATGCTGTCTCAATTTCTTTACACACCCTCCCCCTCTATGCCCAGTAAATGGCTGACCAAACAAGCACGTAATATTTCCACAGAATTTACGAAGCTGTTCATGACAGACCTGGTAAAAACCCCAAAGAACTTTCAGTCCAGAAAGGTGACGTCTTGCAGGTATGTATTACACCATCAACTACATCAAGTTTAGCTCTGTCCATCAAGTTTAGCTCTGTCCATCAAGTTTAGCTCTGTCCACCAAGTTTAGCTCTGTCCATCAAGTTTAGCTCTGTCCATCAAGTTTAGCTCTGTCCATCAAGTTTAGCTCTGTCCATCAAGTTTAGCTCTGTCCATCAAGTTTAGCTCTGTCCATCAAGTTTAGCTCTGTCCATCAAGTTTAGCTCTGTCCATCAATATAAGTTATGTCCACAATGTTTAGCTCTATCCTTACAGTTCTTAAGCTTTGTTCATTATGTTGACCTTGTTCCATCACTTTGACCCCTGTCCATCATGTTGACCCCTGTCCATCATGTTAAACTGTACCCCCAGGTCTTAGACAGCAGTAAAAACTGGTGGAAGCTGAGAAACTACAAGGGAGAGGTCGGCTTCGCCCCATACACAATACTGAAACAGCTGCAAGGAGAGGTTGGTTGGTAGAGCATTCAGCCCTACTTTTGTTTGAATCCTATTTTGTTTGAAACCTTTAGAAAACAGTTTTTGCTTATGAGCTTATAGCAGAAAATAGATACAAACTATTTTCAATTTTTTTATTTCTGATATTTTAAATCTCAGTAAAATAGATTTATTTTTAAAATTAGATTTTAAAGTTACTTATTTAATAACATAGAGACATAAAATGAAATACTTATTTTTACAATAATAGAAAAAAATGTTTTTCATTTTTTTTGTTAATTGAAAACAAAAAAAGGACTATAAACCAATTATTGATCTTGTTTTTTTTTTTACTTTATCGCCTATTTGCTATGATTTAGTTACTAGCGTCTATTTTTTACAATTAAAAAAAAGCAATGCATGTGTGATTCTTTATTTATCTTTAAACGGAAGAAAGTTTTAAAAAGTAGATTTTAAAACAACTAACACATTTGTGAGGGCTAAACTAACATAGCATGACAGCAAAACTTACAATTGCTTTTTCCGCTTCAAGTGTGATTTTTTGAAAACCATTTGATGGATTCAATGCCACAGTTTTACTGTTGCTATAAATAAATGTGTCTTACAACACTTCTCCAGTTTAATTGAATGTGTAAAATGGAATGAAGGCAGACAGCAGGCATTAGCTGGATGCCTACAGCTAATAACAAAAGAAAGCTTTGCCATGAATAACCTTGTGCATAATTTGAATCCTTTTCTTCTACAGGGATTTAACTGAACCTGATGTTTCTCATATAGACATAAACACTACACTCATTAGGTAAACAACCATCTATTACAGGGAGATAACTTTGATGTTGTCAGTTCTTTATTTTCTACAGCTTACAAGGGTGATGGTCTGCTCAATTCTTCAGACAATTTCCAATGTTGCTTCCTTTACAGTTAATGCTATCTTAGGTTTCATAGACATGTCTTTGTCTAGTCTTCAACTAAAAAACTAAATGCAAAACTTTTGAGTTGGTTTTTATATACTTTTCACAAATATTCATCAACTCATGATTAAAATCCTTTAAAATTAAACTATGGTGGTGTGTAGATTGTAGTGTGCTAATTATTAAAAGTTAATTTATGTGCCCTAATGTCTTGTTGGTTTCCACATAATATTCAAATCCAAACAAAAGCAACATTGGTAAACTTGCCTGTAGATGTTTGAATATTTCAGTTTCCTGTCTAACCTAGAGAAGCATGGGAATGTTCTGTAACTCTCCAGTTCTCTCATTTTTTTCTCTCCAACACTTGGGCACATTAGAGGCTGTCATAACACTGCACTCTTTTTTTTTTTGTTGAATCAAAACTTTAGATTAGTCAGTGGATGAGGTTGTGTAATTTTATAGTCAGGATCTACATCTACACTACATGGCCTGTCTATATGACCTCCACAGCTGACAAACACTAGCTACTCAGAGCATGACAGAATTTATGCATACAGTAAAGAACCATATTTAAATGCACCATAGCATACATTGCACAGAAGTCAGTGTATTTGTTATAAACTAATTTATAAACTCTGCACATATACAATAGGTTATATCAGATGAATTTGTCATTTAAATCTGTCTAGGTTTCTGGTGTTTTCTGTTCAGTTATATTTATATTAGGTTAAATTGTGTCTTAATGTGCACCAATATATCCCCTGGTCAAAAACGTAACAAACATTACGCTTGCACTCATATATTACCGCTGTTGTTTGCTTGTATTACTTTAGTTAACAAATCTCTAAATGTTATGTTGTTAACATTCTTAACAAGCTAACATAATATAGCTTATTGTCAACTTAAAATAATTTACTCATCATTTTAATGATTTTAAATTTAGATTAGGATATCAGCAGGTTTGTGGTTCTCAAATTTAAATACCTCTACCCTTGATTGGTGGGCATGTATTGAAGAAATTAAATTACCATAAAAATAAGCAAACGTGCAAGATTTTAACAGTCTAACCTGCCTTACATATATGTCATTCATTCAACTTCATGGTGGCATGTTTTTTTATAATTATTTAACAGTATAAACAGCAATATATAAGGTGTGATAATTTATATCTAATCAAAATGTGATATAAAGTCTGTTAATTACAACCCATTATTTTATAATTAGTGTTTTCATTATTGTATTAAATTTTAGAATTTAATTTTAAATTTATTGTGTTTAATTTATTTTATAATTACATTTTAATATAAATAAATCTTTTTCATAAAACAGAAAAATCAGGTTATTTTTATTCTTTAAAAAATGTCATTAAAAATTGAACTGAACGCAACTATCCAGATAATTAACCCCTACCTGATTACATCCAACCATCGAGATGATTAACCCCTGACCTGATTACGTCCACAGTTGCCAGACAAGTTAGGACGAGCTGACCATCTGCTGGACAGTCTACAGATACACAACACAGCAGGACCCCCATCCAGGACCACCAACTCTGAAGCCTCTTACCAACACGACCTGACCACAGCACACCTGGGAGGTGAAATCAAATATTTCTGATTGACCTCCCACCACATTGACCTACATTTACCTGCCCACCTGTTGATCCAAGCTTATCACCTGCGCTCTTTTACCTGTTCCAGTTTTGTTGATGTTATTCAAATGTGCATAGTAATTATTAGATACTAAAAAAATGTCCTTAATTAATTACACACTAATTAAGCTGTGAACTGGACACTGATTCCTGACAAGTTGTTGACCTACATTCCACCTGTGTTGAATATTTGTTGGTGTGAAAGTTGCTGTCTAATCTTGTCTGTTCTTTCTTTTATTGACTTAATATTTGTATGGAGTTACTTCCATAGCTGCAGCTATTCCTGTAGCTAGCTTCAACAATTCCTGTAGCTAGCTGCAGCTATTCCTATTCAGCAATTAGCTAGATTCAGTCTTTGAGTGGAATTACATTTTGCTCTTGTTTATACTCTACCAATTACATTGGAAAAAGAACAAGGGGTTTACATATAGAAGAAAATGTCTATTGAATGTTAAAATTATTCTTGATTCTCATTGTGATTAGCATTTCTCTTTTCCCAATGATTACAAAAAGTCAACAGGAAGTTGACATCACATGACCTTCTATTTATAGTCTCTGTGTTGTGAGGACCATCATCAATCTGTATACCTGCAATAAATCATATACCATACTCATACTTTCAATAGTGCCTATATTTATATACATATTTATTTTTTTATAAATAAAGCTTTGTATTGACAACTGCAAACATTTTGCAGTCATTTGTAATGTTTTCTTGTGCACTGAGAACCACAATTTCATTTCAAAATTTGCTCTCCCATCACCTGTTTTCTGGGACATGTAGGGGTTTCTTTGTTCCAAAGTTTCTGTTTTGTTTTCACCTACCTCATCTGCTCATCTTGTATCATTTGATTCTTTTGGGGTTTGTTATCTTCTGTTTTTTTTATCATATCTTCAAAGGTATTAGATCAAATGTTGACATTGTTTATGTGAAATATGATTAATATTACTGTAAGTTGTTCATTATGTTCACACTCTGTGTGAATACAAATTGGAAAACTGTTACAACAATAGGACACCAAACTTTGAATCACTCATCCACAGGCTGTGTGATTCACTCAACTTGGGCAGAATGATTCACTCAACTTGGGCAGAATGATTCACTCAACTTGGGCAGAATGATTCACTCAACTTGGGCAGAATGATTCACTCAACTTGGGCAGAATGATTCACTCAACTTGGGCAGAATGATTCACTCAACTTGGGCAGAATGATTCACTCAACTTGGGCAGAATGATTCACTCAACTTGGGCAGAATGATTCACTCAACTTGGGCAGAATGATTCACTCAACTTGGGCAGAATGATTCACTCAACTTACGTTGTGTGATTCACTCAACCTGGGCTGTGTGATTCACTCAACTTGGGCAGAATGATTCACTCAACTTGGGCAGAATGATTCACTCAACTTGGGCAGAATGATTCACTCAACTTACGTTGTGTGATTCACTCAACCTGGGCTGTGTGATTCACTCAACTTGAGTTGTGTGATTCACTCAACTAGGGCTGTGTGATTCACTCAAGTTGGGCTGTGTGATTCACTCAACCTGGGATGTGTGATTCACTCAACTTGAGTTGTGTGATTCACTCAACTAGGGCTGTGTGATTCATTCAACTTGGGCTGTGTGATTCACTCAACTTGAGTTGTGTGATTCACTCAACTTGGGCTGTGTGATTCACTCAACTTGGGCTGTGTGATTCACTCAACTTGAGTTGTGTGATTCACTCAACTTGAGTTGTGTGATTCACTTAACTTGAGTTGTGTGATTCATTCAACTTGGGCTGTGTGATTCACTCAACTTGGGCTGTGTGATTCACTCAACTTGAGTTGTGTGATTCACTCAACTTGAGTTGTGTGATTCACTCAACTTGAGTTGTGTGATTCACTCAACTTGAGTTGTGTGATTCACTCAACTTGGGCTGTGTGATTCACTCAACTTGGGCTGTGTTATTCACTCAACTTGGGCTGTGTTATTCACTCAACTTGGGCTGTGTGATTCACTCAAGCTGGGCTGTGTGGTTCACTCAAGCTGGGCTGTGTGATTCACTCAACTTGAGTTGTGTGATTCACTTAACTTGAGTTGTGTGATTCATTCAACTTGGGCTGTGTGATTCACTCAACTTGGGCTGTGTGATTCACTCAACTTGGGCTGTGTGATTCACTCAACTTGGGCTGTGTGATTCACTCAACTTGAGTTGTGTGATTCACTCAACTTGAGTTGTGTGATTCACTTAACTTGAGTTGTGTGATTCATTCAACTTGGGCTGTGTGATTCACTCAACTTGGGCTGTGTGATTCACTCAACTTGTGTGATTCATCAGACCCAATGGGCCGACATGATTTGTTGCTAGAGTTGAGAAATAAAACCCAGGATTTATTTGTTATAAGTTTAAATTTTTTGTGTTCAATTATAATCCTATATCTCCCAGTGGCTGAGTTGTTTTTTTTTAAAATCACATTTCAAACATTTGTATCCCATAATTGTTTTTTTTTATACTCACCTCTAAAGTTGTTAATTATAAATACTGCTTTTAAGAAGTAAAAACTGAAGAAGAAAAATGTCAACAAACTGAGAAAACAACATAGCCACTGCAATATTTTGATATAACTTGTACTTATATTTCTAACCCTCCTCCACCCATTGATTAAGTCATCCCAATTGTTACGTCATATATTTGCTTGTACATACATTGAAAGTTTATCAAATAAAATATTTAACCTTATACTAGAGAAGATGATGTCAGCTATTTATTTACTTCTGCTTCTATGTAAACAACAGAATGGCTGCAACATTTACTGTAAATATACATTTTAGGTTGACTTTGTCTGAACCTTGTATTTTCATGTCTATAGGTTTAATGCCTGGGTTGTGTCCCTTTGTGGAATATATTTATTTATTCAGGATAGAAAACCAAAATCAAAAGTTGTTTTTTCTCCTTTATTTCTTGTATCTGCTAAGACCTAGACTAATGAAAGAAGATTAATGAATAGATAACTCTTGCTCCGCACTGCTTCTATGCGGCAGTGTTTATTTCAGTTCAGATGACAAACACATTTTCTTTGAATATATTTTTAAATATGCCTCTACCTAAAATTAAAATATTTGAAAGGTAAAGGTAGTGAAAATTTTTTAAATAATTAAATAATTTAAGTCTATTTTTCCTTCTCTCTCTCCCCCCCCCCCCCCCCCCCCCCCCCCCTCAACCGTCAATCCATCCAAGTATTGTAAAATAAAAGACTTTTCTAGGCCAGCATGAGGATGTATCTAAGAAGAATTATAAAATAGTTTATTGGTAACATTAGTAATGATTTGAAATGTATAGATGAAGTCATTGGGAGTATAGTTTATAGATCTATGTGGACATCCAGCTGTCAGGGTTGATAACAGCTTTAAATAGGTTTGTAACTTGCCATTAGCATAATACAAATATAGAACATTAGACAGGAGCTAATGTAAGTCAGGAGCTAATGTTAAAGATGGGACTTTTGTTATCCATTTAAATGGGATAAATTAAATTGTTACTGGTATACCATTTAATAGTGAAATATATAAAGTTTTTAATTGAAGGAGCCTTATCTGTTTTGTCAGTTAAAATATTTGGTAATAAACTCATTGTTTTTATTTACTCAATCTGTGTGCCCGTTTTTTGTTATGCGTGTATGTGTGACCTTTAACCTACGACCATTTTGTTTTGCCTACCTCACCATTACCTCACTGCATGTTTAACCAGTTGCCCCTGTTAGCTGGTTGCCTGTCATGAGTCAAAATGTCAATACTCTAGGGGGTCAAAAGATGTAACATTTTCTAGATACACTCAGCCCAAATAGGTACCCAGTATGTGCTGTCTGGTGTTATGGAGCCTGCCTCCATGTTATAAAACATGAATAAAGGGTATGCTCTCTGCCATATGGGTTCACTAATGAAAAATACTGAAGATAGTGTAGACCACAAACTTTACCAGCAATAGCAGAAGGTAAGAATATATACCCAACCTCGAAGAAAATGTCATTTATTTTTTAAAGGTAAGGCAGGTAGGCCGACTGCCCAGTTTATAATAAAAATTATTCCCCCACCCCAAAAAACAATATTTCAAGTGCCCCCCCCCCCCCCCCCCGACCATTGGAGAGAAAAGTGTGAAAGAAACGCTGATCTCGAATACATTAAGCCTATAGCCTACAAGATGCTTTGGTTACAATCTACTCAGTGTGGCCGAACCAAACAGCAGGCAGTCGAAAATCGGGTGGGTTAGTTCTGTTGGTCAGAAGTTGTATCTTGTGCCAGCAATGTCTTTAGCAATCGATTTATTTGGCTCCTATTTGTTTTGTTTTTTACATATTGACCAGGAAATACATAGGCCTACTTGTGGTAAGCCTATAAACTTTGAGATATGCAGCCTATAAGGTCTGCAACACTGACGGGCGTTCACACGAAGCAATAAAATCTATATCTACATTGGTTGTGAGACTCATTCTCCTAACTTTAACTTGCTCAAATTTCATTTTTAAACTAAAGTTAAAATTCAATAAATGATGAACTACTGCTAAAGGATAAAGTAGTCGCGGGTTATTTTTTTTGTCAAAATAATGTATGGTTACAATAATAATACTTAAAGATGAGTGGGATAATATGTCAAATAACGTAAAGTCTGCCGTCACCCAAATGGCAGAATAGATCTATGCTCACCCCCACATGTCGGGGTACGTGAGTTCTAATCCAGGGTGAACCATCACACGAAAAATATTTGCTCAAGTAAAGCTACCTGCTCGTCCTCGTTTACGTTGTTTTTTTTCCTACTATTTCCTTATACATAATGTTAACATTGATAAAACGTACATAAAACTGTTTGTAATAAAAGCATATGATAAGAAAATAAACATGATTAATTGTATAAATCCATTAGTTACTCAACTTGAGAGCTTTAGCTAATTAAACTACAATGTAAAACCTAAAGAAACATGTTTAAATCATTGTTTTATTTTATTAAACTGTAAAAATGATCACGCAATAAGTAGTTAGGTTTGACCCCAATAACCCGAGTCTTTAATTACATGTCAAAGGTCAAATCACTTGGATACACCTGCTTGAATCACAATAGTCTTATATTTTTTATCCACAGCTTATAATTTAATCCTGATATGTAACCAGTGATTATATTTTAATCCCTGCCACCAATATCCTATAACCAAAGTTCCCACAAAATAGCGTCCACATCTGATGTAACATTCCCCAAGATTTTCATGAACACCTGACTTCTTTCCACCACCGTGCTATTTTTCCCTTTTTGCGAATTTCTTTAGTAATTTGAATTTTGTATTGTCATCGGATATAGATACACGTACCTTCAGAACAAACAATTGTTCATGTGTTGGCAATAGACCTCAAACTTGCAATAGGAGATTATATGGCCTTGTAATATCTTATAGTCTGAGTGTAGGGGAGGGAAGTCTAGACACCCCAGGAGCAACATATGACGTGTTGATCGTGAGCACTTGGTAAACTGTGTGCTCTATTTCCAGGCCCCGCGCACCAGGAGCTCCGTGAAGAGGCGTCTCCTCCAGCGGGTCACGACTCGTACCTAGGGCACCCACCCCCACTCAGAGCAACAGCCCCGCACCTGAGGAGAAAGGAATCTGTTCCCGCCTTAAGGTACTCAGCCACGATGTACCCACCCCAGCAGACGACACCACGTGAACAGTTCTCGCCTTACCCCCCTCGGGGCGCCCAGACGCCCCAAGCCCAGTCGACGCCAACTCAACAAAAGAGGATATCATTCAGCCAGCATCAGCCTGCAACCAATCAAAGAGCCGCTTCCTTCAAGTCTAGCAGCGAGCAAGTGACGTCATTTTCCTACCCAGATTCGCCTGTACGCTTTAGACAACAATCGCCGACATACCCGCAGCAACTGAGAGGTGTTTCAACAAAACAGGACCCACCCCCATCCTACTCTCTGTCGTCTGTCCAGCCACCCCACCATGCATCTAGTCTAGAGGAAGACAAATACGACTTGGATATGCGACAAAGAGGTACGTAAGGTCAAGGATCCACAGCCTCACGAATGATTTCAGCGGCAAATTTTTAGTTTAGTCCCGGTAAAATTTTCTTTTCTTTTTTTACATCCTATTTTAGCCTGTTCCTGAGTATTTTATTAAATCAGTTCATGATAATTAACATTAAAAAGTTTAATTAATTAATGATTAATTAACGTTCTCTCATTTTTTCTTCTCTTAACAAAACGTTTTTTCTTGTCCGTACAACTTGAAACGTTTTGATTTCATATTACTACTTCCCCCCTCCCCCTTACAGTCATGCACAAGTTGTGTACATTATTGTAACAATGTGTTTATATTCAATTCTAATATAGTTATGTGAAGCATTGTTTTCTCTATAAAGATAGCTGTTTAATCATTTTCTATGTTGTTCGTAGTTAGAAACAAAATGTGTATTGTTCGTAGGACGAAGCAAAGACCACATGAGTGAAATACACTCTAGGGTTACGCGTGGCGCCCGCTCAAGTGACGTCATCAAACTAACGGAAAACTCGAGAGCGGAAGACGTGGAAACCTGGCTGGCACAAAAGGGATTCAGTGAGGTGTAAGTCAGGTGTCATGTCAGGTGTCATGTCAGGTGTCATCTCAGATGTCATGTAAGATGTCATGTCAGATGTCATTCTATGTCAGGTGTCATGTCTGGTGTCATGTCAGGTGTCATTCTATGTTAGGTGTCATTTCAGGTTTCATGTCATGTCAGGTGTCATGTCAGGTATCTCAGTCATGTCAGGTTACGTCAGGCGTCTTGTCATGTCAGATGTCATATCAGATGTCATGTCAGTCAGATGTCACGTCAGGTGTCATGTCGGGTGTCATGTCAGGTTTCGTGTCAGATGTAAGTCAGGTGTCATGTCCTGCCAGGTGCCGTGTCATGTCAGGTTTTATGTCAGGTCATGTCATGTGTCATTTCAGGTTTCATGTCAGTTATTTTAGTCTAACTTTAGGTTGACATTTGAATCCCCCCACAGAGCCCGCGAGGCGTTGGCCGGATACACGGGATGGGACCTGTTCCAGCTCCGTCTGAGTGACGTCAAACGTCTGCTGAGTCATGACGAGGCTATCCGTCTGGACGGCCTGATCCTCCTGCAGAAAAACACGTCTGGGGTGAGCAGGGTGGGTGGGCTTCGTCAGTCATGGGGTGGGCTTTGTCAGTCATGGGGTGAGCAGAGTGGGTGGGCTTCGTCAGTCATGGGGTGAGCAGGGTGGGTGGGCTTCGTCAGTCATGGGGTGGGCTTCTTCAGTCATGGGGTGAGCAGAGTGGGTGGGCTTTGTCAGTCATAGGGTGAGCGGAGTGGGTGGGCTTAGCCAGTCATGGGGTGGGCTTTGTCAGTCATGGTGTGGGCTTCGTCAGTAATGGGAGGGGCTTTGTCAGTCATAGGATGGGCTTAAAGAGTCAGTGTTGGGATTGACTTAGAGTCATTTTATGAATGTTTAAACATGAGTTTCACTTTAAAATATTGTACTTATATGAGCATGGTGCTTGCGATAGTCTATTGTTTGTTGTGTTATTTAAATGTTTGAACTGCTCGGACCACCCGGGTGAAAATCTGGTACGTTTGTACCATGCATGTAACAAGTTGCTAATTTGATACATTTCTACCATGCATGTAACAAGTTGCTAATTTGATACATTTGTACCGTACATGTAACAAGTTGCTAATTTGATACATTTGTACCATGTATGTCTCCAATTTGTCTGCCAGTACAGCACACGATCAGCCAAAGAACTCAATGACATCCTGGAGAAGCGGAAGAGCCAGATGAGAGAGGAAGACGACAGCAGACAGCAGATCCGTTGGCACGACCAGGATAACGGTCTGTACTTTGGTACCTGCAGACTTGCAGGTTTTTAAAAAACTTTTAATGTAAAGAACAGTCGTTGCGACGACATTGGTAAAAGAACATATTTTCAGTATAAATTATATTTAATTGGGGGGGGGGGGGGCGGTAGACGTGTTTCGATGCCCGGAAGAAACTGTTTTATAATTTCCACTATTTTGTAAATTTTACGCTGTTAATATCAGTGTTATAAGTGTTTCTTTCGGGCATCTCTCCTGGGAACATTGCCCCCCCCCCTCCTCCCCCCGGACTAAATAAAAGAAATATTATATTTATATAGATAACCATTTTCTGTCCATCCCACCCCTCACCCCCCTGAAGTTTCTAGTGTCCCCTTCCCGTTAGTTACAAGTGCCATCCCCCTCCCGGGATAAATGCCTGAAAGAAACCCTGGCTGTCGAGTAGAAGACATCTAAAACAAGTTTTATGATTTCAGCGAATGTCGGGAGCTGGTCTAGACACAGTCTACGTGATCTCCTTCAGCGGCAGAGAACTCAACTCAGACCAGTCGACGACTTCTGATTGGTTGAAAATTTTGATTGGTTGAAACTTGTGATTGGTTGAAACTTCTGATTGGTTGAAGCTTCTGATTGGTTGACCTGTCTAAGCAGGAGAGAGGTGCTATTTCAATGAAGACAACATGCCGGCAAACATCAATATACAGCGAAATTTCAAAATATATCCTAACGTCAATGAAGAACAAAACGTACATATAACCATACGTCAATATACAATATTTAGCCAAACGTCAATATACAGCTAAACGGCAACATACAAAAAGACGTCAATATACAACATAACGTACTTACAACTACAGGGACCAACTTGTTTTTATCACCTGAAAGGTACAAATCAACTTGATACCATTAAGAGACCGCGCAATTGAAGAATACGAACAAGAACGTTGTTAATATTGTTGTGTCGTTTGCTATTTCCTATAGTATGTTTATTGCTATGCATGTTGTTATTTCCGTATAGTTTTATCTGTTATTTGAAAACACCCACAAATGACGTTGATTAAGCAATATAATTAAAATTAATTGAAATCTGCAGTCGGGCGCTGTATAATAGTGGATACTGATGATCAATTAATTAAATAAATAAAGGAAAAATCGTATAAGATCTAATTAATTATCAAATTAATTCTCAGTGTCGTCAATTGAATGATTTTGCTGAATACTAATCAGAGGCGTAGCGAGGGGGGGGGGGGGCGGGGGGGACGACATATGTCCCCGGGCGCCGACCTTAGGGGGGGGGGCGCCAAATTGAAAGTTTGAAGGGGGTGCAAATGAAAAGTTCGAGGGGGGGTGCAAATCGAAAGTTTGAGGGGGGTGCAAATGAAAAGTTCGGGGGGGGGGGGTGCAAATCGAAAGTTTGTCCCCGGGCGCCGGGAAGTATCGCTACGCCCCTGATACTAATACAGTCTTGTAGTTGGTGTGGGGGTGGGGGTTGCTCTAGAACAAATGTGGTTCCCAAGGTCATGTTATAAATAGATGACCCCTAAAAATGATAACCGTGTACTATTTTTCTTGTTTTAATAAACTTTTTTTTTTAAATCTTGAATATCGGAGTTTTCGGGTTGTGGGGTTGTTGACACGTGTAAGAAAACTACCTCGGTTGTATGTTGGACGTATTATGTAGCCTGCTCGCAAGTGTATGTTGAATGTATTAATTTATGTAGCCTGCTCGCAAGTGTATGTTGAATGTATTATGTAGCCTGCTCGCAAGTGTATGTTGAATGTATTATGTAGCCTGCTCGCAAGTGTATGTTGAATGTATTATGTAGCCTGCTCGCGATTGTATGTTGGACATATTATGTAGCCTGCCCTGCTCGCGGTTGTATGTTGGACATATTATGTAGCCTGCTCGCGATTGTATGTTGGACGCAGGTGCGTAGCGAGGGGGGGGGGGTGCGGACCGCACCGGGTGACACCATTTAGTGGGGGTGACACCAAGGTAAAAAATAGCAAAATATATAGAGAAAAACTCGAGGGGGGGGGGTGCAAATCGAAAGTTTGAGGGTGGCGATGCAAATCGAAAACTTGAGGGGGGGGGTGCAAATCGAAAGTTTGAGGGGGGGGGGGGTGAAAATCCTAAATTTGAAAGTTTGTCCCCGGGAAGGGTCTCTATGCCTCTGGGGGGGGGGGGGTGACACCATTAAGTGCCGCACCGGGTGACACCCGACCTCGCTACGCCACTGGTTGGACGTATTATGTAGCCTGCTCATATGTTTTTGATATGGGACTCCGCGGTATCTCCCAACATATCTATCATGCCCCCCGCTGTGATTGGAACAGCCCATTAATTAGATTCAATGGGTCTTTACCGACCAACATGGAACTCTTGCCAATGTTTGTTTTTTTAAGAAAACAAAACAGCCTAATTTAGACTGTCGTATAGTTTTTAGACCCAACATTCTACAAATTAATCGTTGTATTCTAAATGTTTATACTACCGAAAATAAAATAAAAATTAAAATATTGTTCAAACACCAACAGCTTTACTACTTTCTGTATGTGCACTTTGAAAGACTTAATTTTATTTGTGAACATTGGTAGTCAGTGTAATTAAAGTTTTGGCAACTGTATGTTCCGTCATTTCTTATTTGAAATAATAGGCCATCATATAATTGTTGATCCAACTTTAGTGGGACAACGGGAAAACTACCCCTTTAAAACAGTGTTTCTTCCCCCTCCCCCAAACGAAAGGGAATTTATATAGAAAATATATACTCCTCTTAACAGTGCCCGCTCCCCCCCCCCCCCAAATATTTCAAGTGCCCCCCGTCTTACCTCCCCTCCCCGAATATATATATATATATATATATATATATATATATATATATATATATATATATATATATATATGGTGGACTAAATTAGAAGACGGTGTGTGATGAGGGAGGGGGGGGTTCAGATGGTGGGACGTCACATTTTTGCATTAACAAAAAGTAATGTTAGAACAAAAATTGTAGCCGTTATTTCGCGTTTTAGAAAACTGTTTTAATAAATTGTAATAGGAATTGATTAAAATACTCTGTTTAGAGAGTTCAGACAAGATTTTGGAAAAATATCGATGTTTTAAGAAAAATTCAACTGCAAATTGGGGGGGGGGGGGGGTTGCAGAATGAGGTGTGGCGTCATTTTATGGGGTGGGGAGGTCTGGATTTGTGACGATGTGACGGGGGAGAGGGGGGTATATTAATTATTATTTTAGTTTACTAGATCTAGATTAAATGTAAATAATGCTATATTTTGTATAAAAAAAACAACTTAATTAAAACTAACACTGATGGTACAGTTAATTATCCGCTCAGCTCAGTGGCGTAGGGTAGGGGTGTTAGGTGGGTTATAACCCCCCCCCCCCCCCCCATGGACCATCTGTCAAAAAAAGTCAAAATACCACTGCTACTTTTTTAAATCTATTTTTGAATCAGTAGGTATTACATGTGTAATTGGATATGTATGTTTAGAACAGTCATTTAAAAACTGACGCTGTTTACTCTGAGTTGGTTATTCCCCCCCCCCCACCTCAATTGTGTAGAGCGACAATAATGTCAGAATCATAGCTTTTGAAACGTAAATCTCTGTGAATATTATTTTTGCAATTACCAGTAAAGATGTGTGTGAGCAATACAGTGATTTAACCCATACCTTATCATTATGTTAAAAAATGATCTTTAAAGAACACAAAGTCAGTAGCTTGAAATTCAACAGCCAGCTCTAGATGTATATTAGACAAAGGTCAGTAACCATGCGCACACTAAACCAGGCGTACACTAGAGACATGCTTTACGAGTACATAAAATAATAACGCCAAAACAAAGGTAGAAAATAAGTCATTTAATAGACAGCAGCTTTAAATGACAAAATACTCACATATTTACAATAAACAAAAGCAAATACAATCACAAACAATATGCATTAATAATCAGAAAAATAGAAAAGTTGGGGTCCCGGGGAGCCCCACTGGTCCTAAATAAATAATTGCGGGTATACACGATACATATTCGATGGAGACCAGTGGACCTCCTAAGTTACAGTGAAGTTGATGGCACGCTCCTGCTCGGCAATTCTCTGTAGGAGCTTAGAAGCGTGATGTAGGTAATGTGCGAGTCGAGCCATAAGCTTAGCATTCTTCCATAGATCAGCAATCACGAAACCAGTCTCCGGCCAGGCGAGTCCGAATAGAAGACAGTGACGGGCAAGTGAGTATATGGTCAATTGTCTCAGGTGAGCCCGAACATAAACGGCAGGGAATAGTGCATTTCCCATCAGGAGCATTTACCGAGTAACACAAAAGGGCCCCAGCACGGGCCCGAGCAATGGCAGTCTGCTGGGGACGAGAAAGGCGCCACGAGGGGTCACTATTATGGAAAGGTCGAGGTTGGAAGGAAAAGAGAACACGGTGAGTAGGTAAGTCAGCCCATCTTGCTTGCCACTGGTACCTCAGTGCTTAATGGATAATAAGGTGAGCTGTGGTCGATAGTTTCCGGGGCAGAGAACACAACCGGCACATAATCGAGCACTTTCCGTCAGGGGCATTGACGGAATAGCATAACTGGGCACCAGACCGAGCGCGGGCAATGGCAGTCTGCTGATGGCGAGTGAGCTGCCACCAAGGGTCACTGCTGTGAAAGACCCTTGTTTGATACGAATAGAGAACACGATGTGTCGGTAGATCGGCCCAGCGTGACTGCCACTGGTCGCGCAAGGCCTGGTGAATCATGAGACGTGCAGTGTCGTAAAAGGGAGGGCAAGGTGGAGCACCCTCCTGCCCGTGAAGGGCGGCACCCTGACCAGCTAAACGGTCAGCGATCTCATTTCCCTGAATGCCTATGTGGGATGGAACCCACTGCAGATAAACGGGAACCGACTTCCTACACAAGGACAAGGCTAGAAACCGCACATCAGTAACCAAATCCGACGTAGATCTGTGTGATGGGTTAGCGAGAGCACGAAGCGATGACAAAGAGTCAGTGTGTAAGTAGACAGAGCTGTAGGGGTGAACAGCACAGAGCTGTACAGCCTGTTGAAGAGCAAGGTAGATGGCCGTCAGCTCGGCAGTAAAAATGCTGCCATATACAGGACCGTACAGCTCTGAGTCAGTGAAACCGTCAAAATAAATTCCATACCCACTCAATGTGGAGCATGCAGGGGTTGATCCGTCAGTATAAATGCAGAGTGCATCAACAGTGTAGGAGTCAAGCAGGTGTAGAAAGGATGTCAGCTTATCCTCCTTCGTAGACGGTGAACCAGGTAGCCCTAGCCGGATGGCGGGAAGATCGGGAGGAATGTACGGTGGGTAGGCTGCGTGTTGGCAAATCAGTCTCCGGGAAAAAGGCATGGGTGAGGGGAGCAGACTGAGCAGATACTCGGCCTGCTCCACCCAGGTACGCTTCAGCAACCGCCCCATCAAATGCTCAGACTCCCGCCACCTGTCCACCATCTGGCGCATGGGGTTAACTGGAGGCAGCCGACGATAACGTTCATAAGAAGTTACCATGGCTCGACGGAAAGATAGATCCAGACACTCCACCGAAGCCATGACTGAACACACTAGGTCTGGTGTGTTTCGGCCGAGCCCAGCCACATAACGTACGGCCCGGTGATGCCGAGTGTATACTTCTGAGAGCGTCACCCGATGCTACGAGCATGAGGGGGGCAGAGTAGTCCAATACAGACTTCACTGCAGTGAGGTAGACGGACCGGAGTACTTTGGCAGAGGCACCAGAATCCAGAGTGGCAAGGCGTACCAG